GCAAATCGGTCAAGCCTGAGAAGGAACAAAATCGTGCGGCAGCCTCAGACAAGGACTTGGCTTTGCAAAGTACCCCGAACCCACCAAAAAAAGAACCTTTAACATGTAAATTTTGGACTCTAAACTTGCATCTAGGCTTTCAAAACTTTAGACTGTTAGCCTTGTAGCTATCCAGCCCAAACACCAGCTACCCCTAAAGAAAAAACAAAGTCCCACCAGCCTGCACAAGGTGTCTCATGCGTTGAAGCAACTCCTTCCCAAGTTTTGTTTTGGTTTCCACTTAGTAGAAGACAACTTCCCACGGGAGAGTTCATATACGGGGTATAGAATCTTAATCTCAGACTGCGCTGACCTGGCAGAAGCACTAAGCCCCGAACACCCTAAACGCTAAGCCCGAAAACTCTAAGCCCCAAAGTCCAAGAACACTAAATCACAAACTTCTGAACATCCTTTCTGGGGAGTCACTGGGCTTCTCAGATTAATGCAACATCCTTCGCGAGATCTCTGAAACCCCTGCGAGAAACCTGTGGGCGCTGGGAGAAACCTGTGGGAACACTGTGGGCATCGCGCGAGAAACCTGCGAAAAAATCGTGGCAAACTCCAAACCTGTCTGTGTCGAGAATACACAATTTGTCAAACGGAGCCTCGCAAGATGCAAGACAGTCTGGACCCCCTACGTCTGCGTCAGTCCAAGTAATTCACTGGATCACTCGAAGGGTAGGAGCGACGGGCGGTGTGTACAAAGGGCGGGACGCAATCAGCACGAGCTGATCACTGTGCGGGTTTAAACGATACGCGGCCATTTCAGGCAAGATAACCCTAGGTCATAATCTTCAACGCAAACCTGAATCCTCACCTCTATTCCCCGAATCCTGAACCCTGATTAGGCCGCCTGATTGTGCCGTCAGACCGTTTGGATGCTTACGGTTTTGGCGGCCAAGGGACCTGGTTTCGACCATGCTTAAGCCATATTCAATCTGTTAAACTAACATATTCAGCTCATAAAAGCCCACCATTTTGTACTACTTGCCAAGGGCCCGGCACTGGCTCAAAAGCCTGCTTAAACTCGTAGCAAGGTAGTCTAGGTACGCAAATAGCGCCCAAATCCTCTCGACCGTCAGCTCCAAAGTTTGGGGTTTTATGGCTTAGGGTTTAAAAGTTGAGAAATATGCCGCCCCAAACCCTATAAGCTCTTGATCCTTCCTCGATGACCTGATTTCCACGGCCAAGCTCGTCCTTGCGCAGAATGTCAATTCCCTTTAATGTGGGTTCAGATACTGTTGGGAGTACGTACGGGACCCCATACTATTGATTCATATAGTAGCTTGGCGCTTTGAGTCTCTACAAAAAAATATTGCTTCTGCTCCCGTCTCCAAGTACACAATCTAGGAGCGTGAGTAGTTATAGGCATCATTCCTACATTTTCTTCTTGCAGTTTTGCATCATATTTCCACATTTTCGGTTTGAAGTCCCTGTCTGTGTGTTACTGTATGAACACCCCTCACACACTGACTGCAAACTTTGCTAGTGATTCCTGCAACAAGCGATTGTGGATAGGTCAGACATAGTTTGTTGCTGCGCGGGAACAGCACTTGTTTGTTCTACACCGCGGCCCCTGTTCTCCCTGTGTTTCTTTGCGGTCCAACGGCGCTAGTCTAGCAAGTAGGCAAAATGCGGGAATGAATTTATGCCGGCGAATAATGATGGCGCATGTGGGCCCATTGACCTATTGTCACGGTTGAGGGGCAGTGTGCAACAATGAAATATACCCGAACCTTTTACAATTGTATGAGATGACAATGTACTCCGACTCCTGACAAACATAATCTTCCTACCTGAAACCTCTGCTTTGGCAGGGCCGGCTCCCACGCACCTGTTGCGTGGGTGTGAGGTTGGCAGCCGTTGATTCGGATGATTCTGACAACCCAACGCAACCCCAATAGTCGCGGTCTGAGTGCTTGGGCCTGCTGAACTTCAGGCTTTTTGGGGCAACTATTGCAACGGTGATCTAACGTTACTTCGTATTGCGACTGGAAGTTTTTCTTCCAGGCGGGCAATGCGACAATGCGAGGTAAGCTTGGAGGCATAGAGTGTGGGGTATATATGGTGCAGTATTGGCAACCCCCCCCACCCCCCCCCCATTCAGGGCTTCCTTCGATTACGATTTGTTAGCACGGAAACCTTGGCCTTATGGACCCTGGGGGTACGTGGGGTCATCACATGGACTCTGGAGGATCCCTGTCTAGGGGCAATTTTGAAAAATTCTCACTGGCTCATAAGCTGTGTGACACTGTCGTGTGAGACACAATGCTCTACTGCGGATGGAGGAACGGAGGACATCTTGTACAGCGCAGACACATAAATTGTTGCAAACCCCACTACCGGAGACAAAGATTCGACAATATAAACCTCCATCTGCCGGAAGCCTCACACTCTACGCCTCCAAATTATCTCGCATTGCCCGCCGGGAAGAAAAACTTCCACTTGCAATACCATGCAACGTTAAATCATGGAACGAGAGAATCTGAAACATAGTCTCGCTGGCCTATGAGGATTAATTTCCCTTGAGGGGAAACTCAAACACAAAGATTCTTACCCTCCCTGGCACTAACCTGGAAGCCCAAACAGACCCCGTCCCAAAAAGTCCATCGTCTTCATAGGGCCCGCTTGGGCTTCGATTTACTTTCGGGGAAGGTAAACCCTAATCCCCAAAAATCCTCGTCGCTCTCCGTCTGAAGGGCCTGGGCGAAGGGGCCATGGGTTTGTTGCGGGCTAATTGACAGGGTACAAGTACCCTAAAAGGGGTGACAAGCCCAATTTGGCCTCACACATAAAACATTCATGGGGTACGTATGTACAACTTCTAACCCTGTACAACTTCTAACCCCGCTTAGACACTTGCTTTGTTCTTGAAGTCGAGCCTAAGATTATGCTAGCAAAAGCCTCACTGTCTCCACAATTACCCCCCTGTTCTCCCCCGCGAAGGCTTGATTATGTAAACCTGGCCCATCTGTCCCCAAATAACCCTCCCCATCTGACCCTATCACACCCCACCCCTTCTCCCAACACTGCACAGCACCTTGTAAAGGAGAGATAAGCCCATCAGGAATGTGGAAGCTCAGTGGCGCACCCGGTACCTAGAACCAGTCTGGCACTGCATCCTGTCATCAGCAGCTTTCAGTTTCGCAAAGGGCTTGGTAACATTGACGACTCTCCAATGACTTGACAGACAGAAGCAACATCACTGTCATCAGCACATGGAGGAACAGTGGGCATCTTGCGAAATCCAGACACTTTTGTTTTTTTGCACATCCCACTACCGGAGACAAAGAGTTGACATACATGGTGTCGTGTCCCGTGCCTACAGCCCCCCCCCACCACAATGGTATGCCCCAGACCAAAGCCCAGCAGAAAAGTCAAAGCAGCAACCCTGAAAATTGCGGCTGCGAATCTCTTCTATTCGTTGGAATTACAACCCTGCTGCTTCTAAACTTTGACTCATATTATGACGTACTCCAATTTTCGATGCTTTTCACCAGCAAGCCCTGATGATTCCCTGACTCATGGATGCCATCAAGTTTTTGCTGACAAGCCTGGAGGTCTTCCACCATAGCGAAGCGGCGAAGCGGCGACCTTGACTCGTTTCGGAAAGCAGCACGAATGCGTCTTGGCGATGGGAGCTCTCTCCAAAGCTTATCACAGTTATGCAACTCGGGAGCGGCCAGCCATGTTTTGCTCCCCAAGTTAAGCCTAAGATTTTGCCAGCGCACGCCTCATGGTCTCCGCTACTACTGTACCCCCTTATTCTCTCCCTTACCGTAGGGAATTGATGATGCCTAGTTGGCCCCATCTGTCCCAAATGACCCTCCCCATCTGACCTGACCCCCCGCGCAGAGCATCCTCTAAGTTTCGTTCACTTTTCCCGAAAGCACCGCGGAGGGCTCCTCGTCAAAAAGCTGTAGCCTTGCAAACACCGCTCACATACACATGCCACAGTCTATGCAGCACTTCCACCGCTCACATACACCACGCCACAGCACTTACATCGCTCGCCTTGCACACGCCACAATACACCACACCATGCTACTTTGCCCTTTTATTTTCTCGCACTTCTAAAGCCAGGGTAGGGTTGGCGAAAAACGTCGGAGCGAACCCTCTGCGGGTTTCGTGCGCGTCGCATCGCTCTCGTTGTGGCGCAGTGCGAATTTTCAACGTCATTTGCCAACCCCCTGCGGTGATCGTGCGTGTCGAAACGCTCCCGTTGCGCGCCAACGCAAATCTCAATAGTGTCAACGCTGACAAAGATGGTGGGCGTCTTAATCACAATCTGCGAATGGTCATGGCTTTTACTGTTGCAGATCCCAAAAATGCCAACAATCACAAGGATGGCGCATGCCCCCCCACCACCCACACCACCACAGAGCGGGGGGTCCACATGTAGGGGGCGACACCGAGGTCAAAGACACACATTTTTTAGCTCAACCCGAAACCCCTAGACTCTAAACCCCAATCCTGAAACCCCAACCCTAAGTCCCAAACCCCAACCCCAAGTCCTGAACCCCAACCCCAAAGCCGAAACCCCCAAGCCTGGGGCCAGCTGCACAGTCCCAGTCCCTATGTGGTCTTGAGCCAACAGGTACCACAGGACTGCCAAATCCGGCAAAGGTCGGGCAGGTGGCATCCATAGACTGTCTGTAAGTCGAGCTCAGATTTTCCTGTCTGGAATAAAGCAGCATAAGCCTTCGAATTAGACAAGGGCAGCAGGCTCCTAATCTGAGAGAAGAGGTCAAGGCTGAGTGGTCAATATGTGCAACAAGCCTGCCGAGCCCTAGCTATTCGCATAACAGCGTTGAGCAATTCCGCAGTGGCTGGTAACCTCATGACAAGATAACAAGCTTCAGGAATGAGCTTCAAACACCGGCATGAAGCTGCGCAGCCACGGCAATGTCTGAACGAGGCATTGCAGCGTTCAGCGTTAAGACAACAAAAAAAACGAGTTCTCACTCCTTACATTCATCAGAGAAGATCAACGATCCACGTGTGGACCTCTTCTCCTCATCAACTCCACCATCAATGAGCTGAATCATGTTCTCCAGGTCGGCCCTTGAGACCGCGGTGCTGGAGCCTGTGACATTCAAGCCCAGATGTTGCTCAAGCTTCCGCCGGATGGTCTTCAGGTTGCCGACTGCATCCTCAACCTCATTCAAGCGTCGATGCAAGGAAGGCACCGTGTAAAGGCTGTTGATCTTTGCCTGGATTGCGGCGTCCTTGGCAATTGCGTTCCTGGCACAGGCTGCGTGCACTGCCGCGCCGTAAGGGGCCACTGCAGCTGCTGCCGTAGTGATTCCCGCAATGCTCGCACCACACAGGGCGCTCACGTCCAAGAAGTCTTGGCAATGAACTACGACCAAGTTGATGAAGGTGACAACCTGCGTCAACAATTGACAACTTTAGTCAATCTTCAACAAGGTGCAGTTTTCGCTGAATTTTGCTGAGCCCTTCTCAGCTCCTGACCTGGCCAATGTACGCAATGGCACCGCCAATGTCCACCGTGCAAAGAGCCTGCGCAGGTGGACATCGCGCTTTGCGCAGCATCACTTCTGCAAGTGGAGCGAAGGCATAGTTGTATGAAATTCATCCCTTCAATATCCCCAATTGCCTCGGGGATCCCAGTCAGCTTGTTGACAGGCGACGACAGAGCCTTGTGCCCGCAACTTCCACTCTGGACTGCCTGGCAGGATCATCTTTAACTGCCTTTTGGGACCCATAGCTCTAAGGCGACCAGCCTGAAAGATGGAGATACCCATGTTGGCAATGTTGCTTGCAACCATTCCCACATCCACAAAGCACTGCAAGCCGACGCCAACCCGCCCTTCGCCAACCAGTAGTCGTCGTCCTCTTCGAACGGTTTGGTCGCCAAGCTCGCCGATTGCCGTTGTGGTCAGGCCTCACGTGGCTTTGTGTTCAAACAGGATCAATCACATAGCACTGAAAAAGTGATCCAAAGCGACATCAAGCGCCACGTCTTCAACCCATTCCTCGAAAAAATGATCGTGCTGCACAGAAACGCTGGAATTCTATATCAGCACAGTCATTCCTGGCGCTGGTGTTGCCGTAAAACTGGAAAGGGTCAGAAAGATCCCATGATCATCATCCATATCATGTCACCCACACCTACTGGGACTTCTGCATCAAATTAGTGCTACAAAACCGTATGGGAAAGTGCCTCTTTTGCTGGGCCGCTGGGCCATGCTATGATCTGCTTGAAACGCAAGGATGAAAGAAGCAATCCTGCGAATTGAGAAGCCTATACACACCCTGTAAGGTCCTCGTCACCGGTAATGTTCTTGTTCAGTCTTGTGCCGACGGGTTGCTGGGTGGAGTTGCGGTGCAAGTCGCCGCGGCAAGAGAAGCGGTGGCTGCCAGCTCGCCCACAACTGAGACCTAGGTGACCCAACTTGAGGAGCTCATGAGTGACTCATCTTCCGAGGGCACATCATGGGGGAGTCCCTTTTAACAGAAATGTCTGGACCCTGGAAATCCAGCATATGAACATACAAATATGTCAACCTTAATCTGGCCAAACAGAGTCATCCCAGACTATCCAAGCGACGAGGCCGGTCACACCTTTCAGCATTCAGGGAACTCTTAGTGATAAGAACTCAGGCCTCTGAGCTTTCAAGCAACCGATGCACACACCTAGGGAAGCTCGCGGCTACTCTCCCGTACCCAGCATGGCCTACGCCACAGAGCGCATTCACCTTGATGGTTGTTGCGCAGTTGGAGGCCGCGAAAGACAGCTTGGCAGCAGCATTGCCAACCCATGCCACCAGAATGGCAGCATCCACTTGGCACGCCAACTGCGGATAGCAGATCACAAGACATGGCAGTGTCGGGTGGCATGGGGGGATGGCGACCTACAGCAATTCGTACTGCGTGGAGACATAGCAACCCTTGAGGCCTCTGATTCTCCATCACGTGGAGGCGGGCAAACCCTGATAATTGCATTGATGTCGTCACCCAGACCCACAACTGACACCTCAGCACCCACGCAAGAAGAATCGCAAGGCAAAACGGCGAGCATGCATGGGTGGGCTTGACAGAACATTGTAGGTGAGACTGAGGAGAGTACGAAGGCTTCGAGGACATTGAAAGCGCAGAAGACGGTTCGACCCTCTGTGAGGCGCTTGTTCTTCTTGGCCGCCCTGTAAGCGATGGCCTCCTCCTTTGTACATAACCAAGCTGGACCCAAGCTCCATGAACCCAACGACCATAAATTGTTCCTAAACCCTGAATCTAAGCCTGCTTCCAAGTTGCCTTGGTGAGCATTTCACGAGCGGCATCCTCAGTGCCAGCCATTGAAAATTGCTCTCTCACCATGGGGTTCCTTTGTGCGGGAGATGCGTCGCCTGCTTCCAAGAATAAGGGGTTTCTGAGTTCCCTATGATGCAAGCCAGACCATCTGATTGATTGTCAACTTAACAGGCCATCTCTGAGTTGTGCACCGCAGGGTCGGCAGGCAACGCTCTCACCTGACCAGGCGAGGTACAAAACTTCCACTGTTCCGAGGAACCTGCTCAGAGTTATTCGGAATTGCGGGGGTAAATTTTCAGGATAATTATCGCGGATGATGTAGGCAGTGGATGAAGTGTCACTTTAGCAAGGCATTGCAGCTTTTGCAAAGGGCCTTGATGCAAGCTAGTGCTGCAGGCAACATTCCCCTGGCGAAAGTGGTTTCGTCGTGTTCCGAGCCAGCCTGCCTCGCGATTGTAGTAATGCTTGGAATACTCCTGTGCCAGATAATTCAGCATGGAAAGTTCATGAACTTCCGTTTTTGGAGCGATGCTCCCGCAGCGCATCACCCAGAGAAGCACTCCTGTCCCGCGGCTTTCATGGTCTTCATCACTACTTCATCTGCCAATTTCCTGCACGAAGCCCAAGAACGCGAACGTGCTGAAGCGATATGTCACTGTGTGGCTGCATGTCACTGCCACCACGATTTTCCAGGTTCAGCTGTGGACTTCGAACCCAGAGTTGAGAAGTATATCAGTACTATGTCTCTAAAATCCTAGTGCCCGGCGAGCCTGGCAAACTGTCGGTTCAGAGCAGGATGCACTTAACAAGTCCAGCAGAATTAAAGCAACGAGTTCCCTTTGTCCTGCTCTGGATGCGCTTCAAGGAAGTTGCTTTCAGCGCCATGTTTGCTTCCAGATCCACTGCAGATTTCCCCTCAGGGGACACACCCAAAAGCTAATGCACATGCTTGCACTCCTGCCTAGGGTGAAAGCTACTGTCTGAGAGCTCGCTACAACCACTTATACCGCCGGCGGCCTGCAAAGCTCCAAAATTTACGAACTCCCGCGGCTTGCAGGGCTTCGAGCTCTGGAAAAAGAGCGTTGCCGCTGCCAAGCAAGCAGCAGCGAGGACGGCGATTTTGAGACCCTCAGGCTAGGGTCTTTTTTGATAAAGAGAAGTTGGAGCATGTAGCATATGTGTTTTTCAAGCTAAAGTACATTTCCTTGCTGAGCCTTCATTTTTCCAGGAAGGCTGGCACAAGATCAAAGTTGGTGTGGAGGCGCATTGGCCTCAAAAGGAACAAAGACCCCGAACCTGGACCGCAGCCCGACTCTCCCGTAGGAGGCCTCCTTCAAAAAGGTGCATAGGCCCTTTACCAGTCCCACACCAACTGGAGGGGGGGGAGGTGGAAGCCAAAAACTACAATACATGTATGCTTGAAAAAAGACCATGATTGCACACTCACACATTCGTGTTTGTCACAGAAGGTATTCTCAAGCTAAAGTACATGTCCTTGCTGGCCTTCATTTTTCCAGGAAGGCTGGCACAAGATCAAAGTTGGTGTGGAGGCGCATTGGTCTCAAAAGGAACAAAGACCCCGAACCTGGACCGCAGCCCGACTCTCCCGTAGGAGGCCTCCTTCAAAAAGGTGCATAGGCCCTTTACCAAGCCCACACCCACCTTTTCCGAAACCAACTTGCCCAGTACAAGTCAAACTGGCAACGACACTCGCCACGAAGAAGCTAAGTGGCGCTGCAGCGCGGTGACGGTGGCGGGAAGCAAAAGTTGTACCAGCGTAGCCATGCAGTGACTGGGTGGCTTGGTAAAAGTGGGTTGCGCCACCTCGTGGAAGGCAATAAGGAAGATAATCAGCAGGATCCAAGCCCACTGATCTCGCCAGGGCAGCAAACTCAGCGCGGAAGGTGGCAGGGGAGCCTGCGAAGATCAGGCCCTCAGTCTGAATTTTCCCCCACAAGTAGAGAAGGACAGCCACCAGGGTCGGCTCGTGTAGGGAAAGCGATTGTTGAAAACCCCCCCCGATGTTTTTGAATTCGCAATGGCAATGACTACCGTCCCTTCGTTTTTGAAGATACGGACTTGCCGAAACTGCAGAGAGAGCAGCTCCATGGTTCTCAAGAAGAAAGAGAACCACGAAAGAACGAGGCGGCCCTTGCCTTGGCCCCTAGCCAGGAAAGAGGTGTAGAGCCGCGGGGCAGGTGGACCCGGCGCCAATTGCGCACAAAGAGCTGGGCTGTCATCAAATGAAATTTGCACCGGGGCAAGAATCGCTTCAGCCCTGAGATAATCCAGCCCGCTAGTGAAACATGATGACCTCATGATAAAGGTGATCGACATACTCCGCCAGTTCCTCATCAAGGCCCAGCAATGTTTTTGGAAAACTGCTGCCACCGCCTTTTCATAGCTGCGCCTGGTTTTGTCAGTGATTGCCAAGAAGCGAAGATGGTCACCTCCGTCCAAATTTCCTCGAGGCGCCATCAGAGTAGTTCCACTTTGCGATAATCCAAAGAGTAAGGGGATCACACAAAGGAGGCGATGTCCAGGGCAGCAATTCGGCGACAGAGGCGGTTCAAACGCGGCGACGATGAGCTTCCTTTTGAGAGGACATAGAATACCACCAGGGAGTCAAGGACGCAGAAAAAGCGGTGGCCATGCTCGGCAGGGTTGCGAGTCCGGCAGCGGAGCTTTGCCAAGAAGGGGCTTAGTTCAAGAACATTAATGCGCTGAGGGCGTTTCCATCGGTAGGACAAAACGTCCTTCCAAAGGCATCGGAAAGCTGGGTAAGGAGCTGGCTTGTTGCCCTCGATCTCTGACCCACGGTGAGTGAGGCGGACGCTGGTCCCGGTGTGGTGTACAAACCGGAGAAGCCATTCCAAACGCTGGCATTCCTCACCTTCATCCGTTGTGTCGAGGAAGGAGATCACCGGTTGCCCCCTCATGTTGAAGACCATGGGTTGCTCCTCGAAGTTGATGATAGAGGAGGGAATCCAGGGTGAGAGCTCACGGACGCCGCATGGCTCGGGGGAGCGGCGCTAGAACTCATCCCTCACTGCTTTGGCGAAGGCCAGGCAGAGCTCCCAGCAATACTCTACTTCTTCTTCCGTGTCAAAACAGACGTTCCCATACTCATCTTCATGGGTGTGGTATGGTTCCAGCCAGTCGTGGCCAGAACAATCTGGACCGTGGGTGCATCATGCCATGGAGGGTCTCGGAGTTGCGCAAGTGGTCCACTTTTGAAGCAATTGGAGTATGTGGTCCAAAACCACTCGCATCCGCGGAGGAACCTGGCTTCCGGAAGGTACCACATGTGAGATCCCAGGCATGCTCCAAATAATTCGCAAGCCTCGAATGGCTCTCTTTGCCATGGCATTCCCTTGCGCACCTTGGCGGTAGGCCCTCCGGGCGGTCTCGGCCCCGAAATCCGGGGGGTCCTCGCACCCATTCTGAACACTTTGAACACTTTGAAGCAGTCCTGGGAAAACGTTTTACAATGGCCCCAGAAAAGATCATCCGCTTCCTGATCTTCAATCTTGTAGTCCAGCGACCCTGGTCGCCACTCCTTTCAGGGCAATGGTTTAGTCAAAGGAAAGCAGGGACCAGCAAATTTCTCCTCAAACTTGGGGGTCTGCAGCCCGGCTCGCGTGCACTGGGTCAAATGGTCCCTTGCACACTTCGCCGACCAGAGGCGAAAGCTGCAGAGGCGAGCGCAAGGATACTGCCAGGACGCTCGATCAGGCAGCGGTTGCTGGCAAGCTGGGCAAGTCACCTCATTGCCCGAGAAGACTTTGTCTTAAACATCGCGGCGACGCTGGCTCCCCCCTCTAGGGAACGCATCAGCGCAGCTGATGGTGTTTGAAATCGGAGACTTGAGGTCAGTCTCGGCAAAACGCAACGCCAGGACTCAGAAGACCTGCAATCGGCGTTCAACCTCTTCCGAATGCCTGCGTCCTGATCTCTGCTGTTCTCTTTCGAGACGCTTTGGGAGGATCAGCTGACGAAATGCTGCGGCCAGCACTTCGTGCCAGGCAGCAATCCGCCACATCTCCTAGACGTTGGCTAAATTCCTCCGTATGGGGACATCAGCAGGCAAGCCCCGCTTCCTGCAGAAGAGTCGAAGACCATCCTTTACCTCGACAACTTCGACGAAAATTGCCACTTGAGGGCGGAGATTGCGGCGTCGGTGGAAGGCCAACCTTCGGCCAACCATGTCTGTCAAGTTTGCGAATGCCTGTGAGGCTTTGGGTCTCCCGCGCAATTTGGGGAAGCAACTTAGTGGCGCCCTGAATGCCACCCTCCAAGGCGGAAAGATCTTGGGCAGAGAAGGAATTATTCGCCACGCATATGACAAGTCCTATGAGCTCCTCGACTTGGGGCTGGGCTTGGGGCAACGGAGGGCATGACTGACTTCTGCATTCGATATTGCGTACGCAAAGCAGCAACGGCCTTTCGACGCCCCATGTGTTCCATCCTTCAGGAGATCTACGAAATGTTTGGATGGTCGAGGGGCGCCAAGGTGGTCTGCTTGCCACCCCCCGGTCTATGGGTCTACGATGAAGTCATGTGCTTCCATGACAAGATGGGAGTCGGGCTCAGCCAAGCCAGGATGCCAGTCAACTGACCCACGTGTGGGAGGAGATCCTGGGCTCCTGGAAGAAGACGGACACAGGATGGAAATAAACATCTGCGCCACCTGAATGCGATTTCCCACAGTCTTCACCTTGTGGACTCCACCGGCCCGATTGGTGATCAGAAACCCTCACTTGCACGTCGGCACATCCGAATGAACAGACCTCGGTCGTAACCGGCCTTCACGGTCTCAAACCAGTCTTGCTCTGACGCGTACACCTTGGACCCACGATGCCTTTCTGGGAGCTCTGTCTTTGGAAGCAGGTAGCTCTGCGGGTCGTCCAGAGCAGCTGCCAGCTCTTCGGGGAGGCAGTCTTTAAGGTCGACCGCCGCTGCATTGCCCACTGCTGGCCAGGCCTTGATCACCTTGGCATTGTTGAGGGCTTGGATATGCTCAACTGCCTCCTTCGCGCAGTTGCACCTATTCGACTTGAGGCTTGCAGCAGACTCGGGAACCGTGGACACGCGGCCCCCTGCTCAAGGAATCATCCCACCGCCGGGAGCCCATTCGCACGCAGACTGGCTCACTCCAGCTCACACAGTACATAAAGCTCAACAACACGAGGGCAGACTTGACCCAATCCTTGTTGCCTTTTGTGAGTCCCTCGACGCGCTGATTTATCAGGCCAGGATGTGTCGGAAGCACATTTTCGTGGGGAGAAGAAGCCGCTGAGGTCGACGCGGTGGACTTGGTGTCCGGAGGCAGCGCCAATGAATGTGACAAAAGATGCTCATGGCCGACCTCAGGACTTCGTCCCTTGCCAAAGGATCTTCCCCACGGCCTTGACCGGTGTTCCTGAGAAGGGCATTCCGAAGCTTTGCTCTCCAGTCCGCTCAATCAAGGCCTTCTTCTGCTTTGGCCCGAAAGTCTTTTATGGTGGTCCCACATGGAAGACCTTCATCACTGCTGGCCCCCAAGTCACCCACATCGAACTTGGCTGGAACGCTGGACTCATCTGTCTCCTCGCCCTTGGGTGGAACCGGCCTTGCGTGGGAAGGATCGTCCATTCACGACAAATCCACCTCCTCCTTCGCGCTGGCGGAGGCTCGTTCCCCTTTCCCTTCCTCTTCCCTTCTCGCCCTTCTCTCCTTTCTCCCCCTTGGGGGCGCCTTTCAGATCTTCCTTGCAGCCCCCGTTGCCCTTGCCGGTTTGGACACGCCTCATCTTCAGCTCGCAGGCCATCTCCTTTGATACCATCACCGCCTCGTCTCGCTTGACTAAGGTCGCGCCCCGGGGTCGAGGAGTTCCATGTACTGGGCTCTCCCCCAGTGTTGGTCGGCGAGCAACAGCTCCATGGCCTTGATACGCTCGCTGAGCGAGGATGTCTGCCGCACGCTGGTATTGACCAGCTCCGTTGTGGTCGAGCGCCAGCGCCAGGGCGCGAACTTCCTTCAACACCCTCACCGACATCTGGCCCGAGCTGGGCTCAGTATTGTGACGGGTGGTGTCAACGATCCTTGGTTGTAAAGACTGATCGCACCCCCTTCTCTGGCCACCAAGCTCTGCATCTTCTGCAGGAGCCGGGCGGCTAGCCTCCCCGGTCACTTCAGGGAATACTCCCGAAGCTGGAGTTGGAGACTCTTGCCGCTCTGAGAGGAGGGGGCTTCCCGAAAAAGCTGCACCTCGTCAGAGGAGGAGACTCTGGGGCCTGCCCTGAGTGGTCCGCGGTCTGAAGGCTTGTCCTTCTTCTTTTTTTTCTTTCTCTTACCTTTCTTGTCCCCCGTATCAGAGGAGAGCCACTGGTCGAACTCCTCTGACTCGGACGTATCCGTGGGGGGATCGGCGTGGCCACGGCCAAGCCAGTCTCCTCCTGAGACTTTCTCTTTGGCACTCTTGGCCCATCGCTTTTTTTTTTACGAGTCTTACCCTCCCTCGTAGGGGTCTCGGCCTTGGCCGGAGGAAGGTCGCCTGATTTACGCTTTCTAGCAGGCTTCCCTTCTTCCAGCTCTTTCTCCAAGGGAGAGAGCTGTGCCTCCACCTTGTCTTGGCCTTGGCCAGCAGCCGCATCCACTCCAGCGAGCTCTTCCTTTACGAATTTCTGGTGGGGACCGTTGGCCACCCACTCGATCTTTTTCTCCGCGAGGTCCCCCGTGGTGACCACTCAAGACTTGTCGGTGTGGAACTCGACGTGACTCCTTGCACTGGCGTTGAGTCACGCTGCAGAAATGCAGCTCAAACTGCCAGTTCTCATCTTTGCCGCCACCACTCTACAGCCACCATGTCAGGTGCATGCGTCGGGGTCCCCTGTGAGGGATAACCATGCCTTTGGCACGGTTCAGCTGGCACTTAACCCGAAAAAAGACAATGACTGCACACTCACACATTTCTGTTTGTCACAGAAGGTAATAATTGTAGAATGGTGTGTGTGTGTATGCAACTTTTGTTAATTTCTGTTTCCCATTGCATTCCCCAAGCTCCTTTAAACCCCGAGTTTCCACGTCATGTGTCATTTGATTTTTTGCCAACTTGAAGGCTCAGTCTACTTCAGGATATAGTCCCCCTTAAGTGGATAGAATATGGCTTTGGATGTATTATATTAAGATTCCCATACACCCCATATTCTATCTACTTAAGGGGGACTATGACTGCATCTCCGTCGGCCAGGAACAGCAAACAAGTTCTGGTTTCTCAAAATCAAGGCCCAGGGGATAGAACAGGAGACCATGAGGGTCGAATAGAAAAGGAGACTATGAAGGTCCCACTAGTGATTGTATACGGTATGCTATTGAGAAATGCCCACACTTCGAAGGTTTGTTGAGAAGCCGTGCAACCTGACTAGATATCCACCAGGACTAGGTGATTTAGTCTTGAAGTCCAAGAATGATTGATTTTGCACTCTTCGCCTGCATGTCAGGGGGTCCTTGGCAACCACAGAAATTGGCTTCAAGCAGAAGGCAAGCCCATTAAGCCTGCAGCTGGCTATGGAAATCACTTTCCAAGATTTCAAGATCCCAGACCCTGACTCCTAAAACTCCATAACTTCTTTGCATACTCTTTGGACGCTTCACAAACCAGTCTCAAATGGTCAAAAAACGCTGAAAGGTAGAGATCGCAGAGGTGGCACTCGGAAGCCCCATCGGGAGGAGTGCTTCGACTCCTCATCCTCATCTTCGTGCACGCGCTGAATGGATAGGATGCGGGAGGAGTTCTTCGACTCCTCATCCTCGCAGCTTGCAACTAAACTGATGGCTTGGGCTTCAGGTTCAGGGTTGTGGAAGACTGGGGCATGGGTCTTGAGAATTGCAGGTCGGCATTTCAGATCTAGTTTGGTGAAAGACTTTCAGTGCTGTGAGGCTGGGCCTGGGGTTGGTAGACAAACTGGAGGATACCATGCCCAAAAAATTGATGGTTCCTTCAGGCTGACGATTTACGGTAGTGAGCACAGCGACCTAACGTAGACTGGCAGTCATAACCTTTGGAGCCCAGCGCCCGAAATTCCGAAGCCTCAAGCTCTTAAAGTCTTAAGCTTAAACTGGAACCCGAAATCCGGAGCCCGGCAAAAAGCGCATGGCTTTCCACCTGTCCGGCCTCGGAGCTCAAGGCCTTCACTTCTTCAAAGCTGGCCATGGTCCTTTCCAAGGAGGCTTGCAAGGCTTGGAACAACTCAAGGCAAGGACTCGATTCAATAATGGGAGAAATAATGAGAAATAATGACAACAATATTATGTGATACTTAGAGTTTAACAATCTTAAGAAAAATTAAAAAGGCCACATATGGGGTCTTACACTTTGAGGGTTAAGGGATCCCTTGGCTGTAAACCTGGCCACGCCTTGCCTGAAAACTGGGCTCAAGGTCTGCCAGCCCTTTATGCAGTCCCAACGCTGCTTGCTCTGCAGGAAATAGTAGTGGTAAAATATCGCAGTAATGGTAATAACAATACTAGGAATCATGGGGATGGGTTATACGTTATAAGGGCTAGGCTTGTGCTGTTAATTGTACTTGCCCTAATGGATTGTCAAAGTCAAACTGGCGCATGCAGATCAAATCGTCAGTGCCATGAGCATCACACTGCGTCAGTGGCTACCCCACGGATACACAATTGTTCACACGTACAACTGCACGTGTGCAAGCCGGCGTCCTGCACTGGCCTTTTGCTCAATCAGTGCAGGGGGTCGGCTTGAGCAGTGGTGCCGCGCACTACAGCAACCAATGCTAGTGCGGCGCGCTGACCGCATGCTGTCCAAGGCAAAGCATGCAACTACCGCATGAGCAACCTCAAATCGATTGACAAGTTCTAGAAGCTATGCCAAATCCTTTTCACGAATGATATGAGGTATGGGCAGGAGGTTGAATTTGCCGAGCGTTTCTAGCCTACGGCACGCAACTGCTGCCGATGGAGACATCGGGTTGGACTCCATATGTACGCGATGGGGCGTTTTCTGTGTTCCTTGAGGCTAGCGTTTCTTATATTCGATTTGTGTTTTCCAAATTTTAACAGAAGCCTGCGCAGACAAATGTAAATCCAGTGATTATGGGCATGGCCAGTGGTAATGTTAGTAGTGATCCTAACTGTATTAGTAATCCATCGTAACCACTTGCCCAAAGCCGCCAACCGCCAAATTCATATGCAAATCGCATCCGAACCAACATTGTCATATGATTCGGTTCAAGTACGGTTTGACTACGATCTGGACACGGCTAAACTCCAGGCTGCTCGGCCTCATCAAGTTCAAGCTGTATAGAATCATATAACAACACATACTGGAACCCATACTAAAACCCCATGCAGGACCCCACACAAGACATGAAAACTGCAAACTGTGTTCGCGTCTATCCAAATCACGAAACACAGTCGGAAGTCGCGTCTGTACTTTGTCCAAGGCGTGCCCGTTCAAGAAATGGGTCATGGTACTTAGCTGTGAACTCTTACGCGTCACTCCTGAACACTTGCATTATCTTGCTATGGTGCGGGGAACTTGGACGTTTATACTTCAAAAGCCATGAAATCCCCGAGTCTTGATCCTGGGAGATATCTTCCTGTCCAGTGAGCCTCTCTTCAGCAGGAACCCCACATGCCTGGAAGAAATGGAATCGAGCCTGGACTGTCGCAAAGCCTCAACAGGATGCGCAGCCCTTCCAGCCACTGACAGTAAGGCATTTCTCCGCTTTCTCCGGCCACCTCTCTTCGCTGGCAGTTGGGGGCGCCGGCAGGGCAGCCGGCAACCTGAAGCGCAAAGCTGTCCTATGTGCGAAAACATTTTCTAAGGGTGATGATAGCAGGTAGCACTGCTGATACTTGCAAACTGTACAGATCACAACGGCAACCGTCATAAGAGCAGCAGACTAAGGATATTGTCAGCTTTCCTTTTTGCCCTACGGAATCCTCATCAAACGAATATGCCTCGGTTGCTTCATGACTAATGACTAATGGCAGCGAAGTTGAAATAGGGTTTTGATAAGAATCCCCCCAATCCGCACTGCTCTGGCAGAAAGGTGGTCATCCGAGGAGGGTGCTGGGCTATCGAATGCTGCTAGCACTGCTGAAGTCAAACATGGACGCGGGCCTTGAAGCCCTAAGAAGCATTCAAGGCTTCCTCGTCCTCTGATGGCAGCAGTCCGTACAATTTCAGACAAGAAACACCGAAAGCAAGAATCACGTCAACCATGTGCATTCCTGACTCGACGCCTTCAATCCTGTTGGGCATTGAGGGATATTCTTAACTGTTAGTCTCCAGCAACTAACAACTATAGACACCACTCCCTAAGTCCCCACCAGAGGGCCACGAAGCCTCGCACATGAGCGGCATGGCTTGGTCGTTGACGAAAAGGGTGACGGCCTGCAAGAAGGCAAAGAAGCAGCAGCAGTCCGAGGAAGACAAGGAGGACAAGAACGCAGAGGCAGAGGGGGGGAGGGGTTTAGGATTTAGGGTGGCTAGTAGGGAATTAAGGAAACAGGGTTTTCTAAACTTTCTCTGGGATAACGTTGCCATGGCAGAGCCGGGAGAGGTCACGAAAGATACTTTTACAGTACTACGTACTACTTCCTTTTGGTAGGTTTGCACTGCCACGGCCGGATAGATTCGCCGCTGAAGCTGTTTTCACAGGGGCAGGACACACGAAGCCTCTTGGTTGAAGGCATGTATGCTCAAAGTGTAAGGCTTCTGAGGGTTGATGGCGTGGAGCCGCGAGGCCCCACGAAGTAGCGCTGTTGCTATAGTTTGGAAATGGCCAGACACCTGACGGATTATCCGCAGAGCTAGTGCCCAGGTGTTTGGGTCACAAGAAACGGCGCCTGGAAGGATGAGTTGAATCATAACCCCAGTCTTGAAAGAGGCTCGGCCAAAAGCGGTGAAGTCCGAACCAGTCCCGCTTTCTGGAGACCCAACTGCTGGGCCCGGCCTTCTGCGTGCGCAAGGCAGAGATAGCCAGCAAGCCACCTCTGGCCATCAACAGGCTGAATGCTTCAAGGCGAGTCACACCCCCCAACTACAAAGGCTCCCATTACTTGGCACTGTCCCAGTAAGCTTTTCGGGATAAGGTAGCTCAAAGTCACAGGATGCTGTTGTCTTTCCATACAAGGACTTCAAGTGAGGGGATCACCAACTTCTGTCCCACAGTCATCCCATGCCTTACCCCCACCATTTCCGAACGCCCATAGCACAAATTGCAGCAAAAGACAGAGACAGACAGAGAGAGAGAGAGAGATCTATAGAGATCTATCTATCTATATGTGTATATATATATATGTCGCCAAAATGAATCCCGGAAAATACGAAGCAACAGAAGCGACACTTCCGCAATTTTGACAGCCCAAATTCAAACCTAGGCTTCGCCCACACTGACGAAGCACCGCTGGCTGTAGCCAGAAGAAGGATGCAGCCGCCTGCTCTCTGAAGTGAGAAGCTAGTTCATTGTGAGCACCATGTAGCATATCATGTTTTTAGTGCGGTATTGGTCCTTTGAATGACAACTTGTTTCTTTGTATCTCTTTGTCGCGTCGCATGACGGATTCTGGCTACGCAAGGGCAGGCAACAAAGAGACAAAAGGGGCTGCAGCCTGGATCCTGGTACCAGAGTATGTTCATTCATCTGTGGTCTTTTGGAGCCGTGTGCCGTACAAGCCACTGAAGCCAAGATGCCAACGACTGGCATGATTGACTCACTCTTAACTATCGGGAGAAACCATTCCGCTGTAAGAAGAACACGCAGAACAACCAATACCTTTTGTAGTACAAGAAAATATGAAAGCCTGGACCAATGTCACTGCTTGCTCGAGCAGCACAACCCAAACCTCTACCCCAAAAAATCGCTTGATCCCTACCCACAAACCAGAAACCCCCAGACCTTTAAACCCCGAGATCCCCTACCCTAGCTCAACCCTGAGACCGAAATCCCCAAACCCCCAAGTCACCCACTGTATAACCCATATATAACCCCTATATTCCCTTTACAGCCCCAATGTACAAGAACAGTTTCCATTCTCTTTTCCATTATCCCCATATAATCCCAACATACCCCCATGTTTGACATAGTAGTTTCTTTTGTATTTTCCATTTAATTCTCCATTATTGGGGGATAACATCCCTAAACCCTAAACCCTACAGTAGTTTACATTTTCTTGTCCATTTTAAGCAGATCTCCGCCCAGCCTGGACTCAGGGCCTCTGCCTCTGCGCCCAAGGCTGCCACCGGGGCATCGCGGAGCTGAAGCAGCCGCCGCGTGGCCGAAAGGTCCTTGCAATCAGTGGGTTTGGGCTTAGGGTTTGGGCTTTCGGGTTTAGGGTCAAAGCCAAGCATTTATTGAATGGCCGTCTTTCATCCCACTGTTGCATTCTGAGACTCACAGAGGCTCAAGATTTAGGCTTCCAGGTGTAATGCAGGGCCCTGGAAAAAGGTTTGGACTTTTTGAAGGTGTTGGTTGAGCTTCTTGTCAGCCTTTCGCAGTGCAAGGTCCAGCTCCTGAAGCATGAGCACTGTCAACACGCATCGGCATACCACGACAAGTCTAGCGTTCATGTACAACTAAACACGCGAAAGTATTCGCACCAACAAGTAATGCACACACACACAACTCAGTCGCGCGCAAGGACTTCTTTTTGCCTCATCCCTGCGGCTAAAGTGCTGTTGGCACTGCCCGGACAGGTGGCCCTTTGGACCATCTGCCGAACAGCGCGATTTCGCCACTCACGCGCGCTGTTCACCACTCTTGTGCGCGGGCTTGTAATCGGCGATCTCACCCACGAGTTTGGAGAACTTGCTTCGAAGCTCTTTGTGCTCACCTTTCTGGACCGCCAAGAAAAACTTGTAGACACGTTCGAACTGGGGGCACAGGCGCTGGCAACCAAATGCCTCGGCGTCATCCCAATTGCCTCGGGAAATGCCGTCCGACAGGTTGGCAGCAGACGTCACCCGGTGGAAGGACAGCTGCAAGTTCTTGTCAGCTACCCATGCCCAAAAGCACGCAAGGGTCTTGGTAAACGACTCATCCTTTGAGTAGCCTTTTCGGAGCGCATGCTCTGCCGCCGTGTTGTCCACGAAACACACAAGATGCCCCTGAACATGAGGTGCAATCACTGCGATGGACAGAATCTGCGCCATCATCTCCAACCAATATATGAACGCCTTGGATTGAACAACCTTAGCCAGCGAGTCCACAGGAACCTTGGATTGAAAAGCTCGCCTAATTCCTGTTGAACCGAAAAACAATGCGCCCCAACCATTCTCGGAATCTTTTAGGAGGCTTAACGATGGGCAATCTGACAGCCACTTACGCGCCGTCCGACGCACTCCACTAAGAGTGATGAAGGCATCAGCATACAGGATGGAAACAGATTGTGATCCTACCTGCAATGGGATCTGCACGGGCTTAAGCAGAGGGAGTACTCCCTGAATCTCAAGCAAGGCAACGCGCATGGATTTAGAGAGGGCACTAGAGCCAGGGAGCCCATGTTGGCGAGCATACAGCGGCTTCAGGAGGGCTTTGCCTACTTGGCCGAAGACCCATGATGTGACAAAACCAAGTTTTCCTGCAAGTTTAGCTGCCATCTGCTGGCTCATCTCGCCAGACGCAAGGATCTGCGAAATCAACAGCTGAATCTTACGAATTCGCTCGGAACCTGCAGAGGCAAGCACGCACTCGTTCCCTACAGACCACTCAACCCCCAACAAAGTCTGTTGGGCAGCAGGGGGCTTTTCCTTGGCTTTCTTCATACGGAACCCTAGCG